AAAAAAATAAAAAAAAAAAAAAAAAAAAAAAAAACCCAATGGCCGCTCTCGGAAATACTGGCACTGTGGACTGGTACGCCGAAATATTTTCTATATATATATATATATATATATATACACGCACGTATATTATAGGGGTAGATCAGCCAGGTGGTAAGCCACCCTACGGCAGACCTCCGAGCACCCTTCGGTATTCTAACCACCCCTAAAACGCACATGTTTAATCCTCCGTACGTGTTCCTTATAATATATGAATTTGGGTTGTTAAAAAAATATTTCGAAATTTTTTTTTTACTTCTCATGTTCCTCGTCAACCCCCGCCAACGTTATACATCGTTATCACCGATTGTGCAGGTAGCTTCGCGTGTACCATAGTACTAGGCGTATTTTTACCTTGCGCTCTGGTGGACGTGGAAAAAAAAAAGAATTTGAACGCGACGAATAAAAAAGATACGAGAGGAAGGAGGCGCGCACGTGGGTTAATTTTAGTGAGACCGAACTGGCAGCGTTTCGCGTGAAAAATGGCAAAGCAACGAAAAAGATCTGCAGGATGTCGGATCGGAGCCGGAGGGCATCGCAAAATTTCATTTGCTCTTCGAGTCCAAGTGCAACTGCAGAGTGACGGGGGGCAGGAGAGGAACTATTTATATCGTAAAGAAGTGCTGCTTAATGAGTCTAGGTACTGTCACTGTCGAGTGAGATACGATCCCTGCTGTATGTATAATGGACAGTATATATATATATATATATATATATATATATATATATATTCTTATACATATATATATATATATATGTATAAGAAAATATACTAAGAGAACGAGGATCCCTGGGACCAGTAGCAGGAAATGCGATGTTTCGTTAAGATTGTCGATAAATGCAAGAAAAGCTGGGCGGGGGGGGGGCGGTGGGGGAGGTACACGTGAACGAGTGAAATAATTATAATAATACTCCCGATAAGGGACGTCGTTATGCTAATCGTTGAGGATTATTGAAATCGGTATAAATCGAAAAAATTAACGAGCTCGACGAGCCAACTGTACTTGATCCTTGCGATAAGTAAATTTGAAAAATTGAATTTTTCGGTAAAACGGTAAAATGTACTGTGTCAGAGGTGAGTTACGTAATGTTTGTCTTTCTGGCATAGATAAATTTGAATATTGATTTATTGATTAGACCGTCGTTGCCACCACCGGTTGCACCAGGTGCGACCGGTATTAACGTTGCGAAAGGAGACTTTGAAAAAAAAAAAAAAAAAATTAAAAAAAATTTACAAAATTAATAATCAACGTGTTATCAATCCGAGCCCAGCCGAATGTATTAAGGGTACTGATAAGACCAGCCTCGATCCACGGAGAGACGCGCCGCGTCGAGGATCCGACGGCGAGCGTCGGGACGCCTGCGGTGTCTTACGATATCGCAGCAAGCGCTTTTTCCACTTAGATAACAGATAAGCATCGGTTGGGGTTTGACGTTTGGGACTGCGATATCGGGAGATGACGTGGTGGCGCGATTTGGCAAATGAGGTAAACGCGTGAGGTCTCTTCGAGCCTCGCAGCCACAGGTAGGAGGAAACTTTCGCATTGCCGTGAGTGCTGCGAGATAAAAAAAATCAATCGGATACGATTTACTTAATCGCCTGATAACCTTAACGCTTGACGGTAGGCGTACTTTTATTTTGTACGGGGTCAATGAACCCTGCCGATTGGTCGAGTAAAAATTTACACGCGTACGTCGAACAGTACGCTCGAACGTTGCTCCGGGCCCGTAGAATGTCCTGTTCTCGTAAAATGACAATGTCGCAGAACCGATCCGATCTAGGAACCGTCTTGTCTGCCTACGGTAGCGTTACCTGCCCCGGCGCGATAACGCGACAAATATCCGATTCAATTTACGTAACGGTCAATGCAGAGTGCCATACAATTATTCCAGATAACCCAGTACGATAGCGTCGGGTTGCGTACGCAGTGGATACCTATATTACGGATAGTCAAGAAGCCAAGTCAGGCAGCTGTCAATCGAACTCTTGTGTACAGCATAGAACGCCGACGCGGTACGATTTTCGGAAAAGAATGGTAATAATAAAGAAAAAAATAAAACGGGGTTCCTGTGACGAGAAGAAAAAAACATTTCTAATTTCGGTAAACACGTAATACTGAAAACTCGAAGCAGCGTCTGTATTTTACGAATGGCGTCTGTCAAAAATGGCGGGAAAGATAAAATTGCACGTATTATCCCCTTGTTTCTCGTGAATTGAAGAGAAAAAAAAAAAAGAAAATAAAAAGATAATTTGCATCGTCTTGGCCTCGCGTGTCATAACGTCGGCCATTATATGAATCGGGTGTAATACCGGTTTACCGTTAATGCCTCTGGACGGTACTGGTGGTAATCTTGGTAAATGCGGCACTACACGGTAGCTATCGATAAGATGATCGTTTTCTGCGCTATAAAAGCTTGTTAACCTCCGGGGAAGACGCTGCGCGATGCGTTCGCGTCTACCGGAGCGTAAGGAGGCTGTAATGGCTCCCACGAGGTCATGGAGCACTATTTACAATAATGGGTAGAGTCGACGAACGAGCACGGTGACTTTTGGATTTTCTTAACAATTGCGTTGAAAAAGCCGTTAGCAGCGTTCGAAAGATCGTTGGCCTTTAGGTGTTCTCGAAGAAATGTTCCGTATCGCCGTGATCGTTCGTCCGCCGGGTCCGTATGACATTTCAGGTAGCCTCAACTAAGGCTCGTTTAGGCGTATGCGATTGCGAGTGTTTATTTGTTTGATTTTGGATTTTCTAAAACAAAATATGCGTTTCGGGAGATATCCGAAAAGCTTGGTAAATCCATGGAGATTCACGCGTCCACGAGCATTGGCATTGGCTTTGAAATTATTGTATAAAGTATTTCATGGTAGGAAATGAACTCACTCCAAAAATAATGCACAGTATCCATCCAAGTGGTGGCGAGTAGGAGGTTATCCTGGATTATAGCGTAATACCGTCAATGGGGTAGAGAATCTCTAGTAGAAGGTGGTGGGTAGAAGAGTAACAAGTAGTAGCAGTGGAAGTAGAAGTGACAGTGGTAGAAGAACTACAAGTAGAAACAGCACTAGTAGAAGAAGAAAAAATAAGAATAATAGAAAAAGAAAGAAGAGTCGGGGACGTATGCGTGTGCTTACGCTTAAATCCCGTGGCGAAGCACAAGAGTATCGAACGTAGATGATTGCGGCGTTGGTCGAAGTGCTGGTTGTCGTTTGGTAGTATATCGCGGGAAAAACAACAAAGGCTTGACAACTCACTCACTGGGGCACTTGCGTGTAGATGGGATACGTAAATATATACGTAGCCAAGTAAGGTAAGTAAGTAGATGGGGGTAGTCAGGTAGAATCTGTAGATATTAAAATAATAATGGGATATGCATAGAGTGAATGTTAATGAATATTGAAGAAAAACAACAACAACAAAAAACACGCGGGACGTTATCACTGTTTAGCGTTTTCCCGCGGTCGGCACACGTTCGAGCACGTTTAACGAACGTAATTAAACGCCGAGATTTTGTATCGACGGGTTTCAAAGAATGTAAAAAGGCACTGACCGAGATGGGTCGTACATTTCACAGCGTAGCACACTTGATTGATATCGTGACAATATACTCGTGTAATATACACAGAATAAGGTACGACGATTGCATAAAGGTATTAGACACGTCCTGATGACCGGCGAACGCGCACACAAGCTTTTCAAAACAACACAAGGACCCGCCGCTCCGGACGCTCTCGGCTTGGTTGGTTTCACCACAGCGGATCAATAATTCACCGTATATCACAGGAGAATCCACATTCTGGATCGGTCGCGCTGATCGACAGGCTGCGTATACGCGATCCCGACAGAAGGACAAGCACGCACACGGCACGAGGGATACGATATACTCAGCAGGGCGACGGGTGAGCGCGAGCCCCGCGGCCGCCGGAAGTCGGCGCTGGCAAACATGACAAGTATGCAAAGTATCGGAGGAATCGTGATCACATTACGCGGATTCTGGGGCCGGTTTTTACTGAAAGGACGCCAACGACTTGGGCGTTGATCATCCTAGTGGATAAGGTACTTACCACAGGGCGAGTCGACGTGGGCCGCGGCCGCTTTTCTCGAAATTCGGACGGTATTCGGTCCGTAAATATGAGGAGTTACTCTGTTTTTGGTATGCCAGGAATGGCACAAAGAATCTAGACAACGCACACGCCTGCTGCGCAGCCGGTCTGCGCACACGCTGACACCGAGCGGCCGCGGGAGAAACCAGAACCCGAACTTTCACGAGGACGCACGAACATTCACGAACCTCTACCTTCATCCCCACCGCCATACAGTTTTCCACCACCTACTCTACCAGAGATACTATTCCCCGTTTAGCATTGCTTTCCTCTACCATGCGTCTGCATGCGCCTTCGGTCACTCGAGCCACGCACCCACCACGGTTTGCTTGCTGGCTTCTGTCTGTCTGTCTGCCTGACTTTCTGCCTGCTTACCAACTTGCTTCAAACCATTCGAACGGAGCACTTGTTGATTTTACGTAGAAAAGATTTCAGATCCCACACTCCATTGACTGCTGCAACCACGGATTCTGGAAGCTTCTAGTTTATCGCGCAGACAATTTTATTTCATCAATGTTCTATATACTCACATCCCTACTCGAATCCCGTAAACAGCAACCAATTGAATCCCAACACTTGTTGATTTTCATAAAAACGTACTTCATACGTTTCCTACCAGTAACGTTAAATCCTTTTTCATATTTTATACCACAGCACCGTCAACACAATTTTGTACCTTCACAGGTTAAATTCGTACGATCCACTTCGACTTGAATTACGCTCGAAATATTTCTGAAAGCAGGTTCAATTCTTACTTTATCTATCTGTCGTGAAACTAAATATATTTACTAATGACACCGAAAGGATGAGGATTTCCTGCAGGTAACCTTCATCCCTTGAGTACACCTGAGACTACCTAACCTAAAACCATTCTCCATTTTGGACTTCCTGCTGACCCTTCTGTCCGCGTTAAATGGCTTTAGGTCAATACATCAATAAAACGGACTCGCGCCAACTTATATACGTTAAACTTTTACAGGACTTTCCTGTCTTCGACATTATTTACTGACTCGTAACCTACTTCTTGTGTCGACAAACAACTTTTTCTAAAATTCGTTTACGTAATCGGTACCTATTTATTAGACATAGCCCCAACTTATACGCCTAGATTGAACACAGCCTTATTGAAAATTAACACAGTCGATAATCTAATTATCGGTGCGACATGCCGATTCAAATAGAATTGCAGCAACGTTCCGGCGTTCTGCCATTTTCCAACATGGTGGGCGGTATTGTTCTCAGCCGGGGTTAAACTACTGTAGCCTTTCGGAGCTTAGAATGCGCATGTTTAAAAGCATATAACGTCGCTTCTGGATATTAAAAAGATTTGAAGAAAAATATACACTGGTGTTTCTCACTATTTCGTCTTATGCAATCCAACCGCTTTGCATTCAATCGCATTCATGTCAACCAGTACCGAGAATCGACCGAGTACGCAGTTCACTGACATGGATCATATGCGAATTTTTTGCAAAATAAGTAAAAAAAAAGTTAACACTTGAGAATTTAAAACTTAGCAATATTACAAACAATAAAAAGTATCGAGGGAGGGGTGTACAAATAGAAAAAAAAATTAGTAAGTTGTACCAATATTTATCCAGCCCAATTGTTCTGTCCTTAAATTTTGAAACTGCAGTGACGTAGAGAAAAAAGCTGACTTGATTTGAAATGTTTCGAAGAACGGCAGCAAGGGAGTTTCATTGTTAAGGTATATACATAACCTGATTAATTAGATTAATAAACATAACACTTGCGCAAGGTCAATCCCCAGAACGTCCATGCTGCAAATTTCTAGCACTGTGACTCTTAGGACGAGTGGCGACTAAGATCTTCCAATATAACGTAGAAATATGTGTAGCAACGGTTGTTGTGTCAGGGTACGCAGAAAGGCGGCTATTGTCTGATTTTCACTGTCAGGACGTTAGGGCAGCATTCCTAATATTAGGCGACAGTTGACACAGTGAAATTTGGCGACGGTTTAACAATAGTCCTTAGTCCTGAATACAGCGAGGTAACGTTACACTGGTATTATTGTATTTGTCGCGGACGAGAGGATTACACGCGATCCGCCATGACACGTTTTGCAGACGAGAATTACGTTTACCATAGAAACGCGACCTGCTGCTACGACGACTACGCTTCATCCACAGACCGATAAATACTCTCGTTAAGATTACTTCGAGCGTGTTACTACGCCAAAGCTAATCTTTCTCTACTCCTTTGCTTTTAGCTACTCAATTCCGAGAATGAGACGCTGAGGATCACTAATCACTTACTGACAATTTCCAGACGTGCTCAGTCAGTCTCCATCTTGACTTTTTCCGCGCGCTCAAATTCGAGGTATCGTTAAACATTTTTTCAATCGAATAAAATTTACAGCATGACGATTCCCGCAAGTCAAATCGAAATACTTTCACGAATTAATTGTATTTCATATAATTAACCTCGCACAAATATTCTTGGAAAATATTTTTCTCTGTATTTCTTTTTACTTGAGTATTTACGCGTCAACTGTCTCTCTACGTTAAATACGTTATACTTCAATTTTCATAAATCCAAATGCCTCGCATTCAAGCTGAAATTTTCTGTATTAAACAAAAGTATATAAAAGGTCTTAAGTCTGTAATAAGCACGTTGTTGTATCCGTAGAATTTTGTCGAGAGTCCTATTGTGTATAAAGTTAGAATCAAGGGTGACAGTGCGAGGGAAGAGATGTGACGGGAAGGTTATAGAGGTGGGAGTGATAGAAGCTCACCTGAAATGCCAAGAATGGCGACATATTTTCATCGAATTCTTTGCCGGTAAGGAATGTCGGAATTCTGAAAGATATTATTATTTAGATATTATGGAGCGCAATGACGAAGTAATACACTTAGGGTGTATACAGTTGCCCGTTCTGAAATTCTGTGCAATCCTTTTCCTTCTAGTAGCCTCTCTACCTGCGCGTACACTCTTACATTGCTTTACGCTGCGTCTTCACCTTCCTATCTTCTTCTCCTCTCGTGCATATCTTGGCATACCGTATTTCTCGTAGATAGCACTGCTCCGCACCGCTCTTGAATCTCACTTCGTTTGCTATAGGTGGAGTTGCAAATTCCATTCGATTTCCAGGAGGCTTGAACCAGCCACGAACAACCCTGGTCCATACGTGTATGTATAAATACCTGTAAGAGCTCCAGGATCTTCCTACGTGAACACGTATGTATATAACAACCCCCTACCATATTTATCACCTCCATCGTTAATCGAAAAGAAATTAAGAAGGCTGCATGAAGAATATTTTGATAAAAATTTTATATAATCCCTATGTTTTTATTATATTAATGGAAATTCTTCAGATTGAATGTGAGATTTTGTTTCTGGAATTTTCGTTTGATTTCTGTTATTTCGTTTATTAGATCGTGCATACGTACATGTAATGCTACCTGCAGGTACGTCGCCCTATGAGGATATTGTCTATTAATAAACAAGATGAAGAACAATGGAGCATCGCACCTTCCCAGGAAACAATTGAGCTATCGAATGACGAAGTTAGCTGATAAATGTTTCCTTGACATATTCAGTTGAGACATCGATAGTCTAGACGGTTTCTCGTTCATGAGATTATTTTCTTCTGTGTACATATATAACAAGAGTCTTCTTCCTTTACGATACGTGACGTAAGTTCAGCGTCTTTTTCTTTATTATTTTTTGTTTTTCTTTTGTTATTTCATTGTATGAAGATTATTTGGCTTTTCAGATATTCGGTCTGATGTACTCGTCGGACTTGGATAATTCATCTGATATTGAGGAAGAGTTCATTAGTGCGTTGACTTTGTTGCGGTCGACCGACGTTGACAGTGCGGAGAAGCTGCGCAGGATGCTGGATCATTCTATCGAGAGGAAACTAGGGCACAGAAGATTCCTAACGACCAAGGACTTCCTCGAGGATAACCGGAATTACGAAGAAATTCAAAGAGACGATAGAAACTCGAGGAACTCGTCGCCAGAAGAATTTATTCTTGCAGACTCCGTGATGGTTCTAGGGGTCCAGGAAGTGGAGGATGAGTTCTGTGAAAAGATCGATATTCCTAGGATATCAATTCCCGACGAAGGACCTGCCGAGGGTGCTCTTTGCAAGGTTTATTGTTGTTTGAATTTTCAATATTATTTATTCTATTGTAATATCGTTCGGGCTACTGATTTTCTCTTTGTTACGTGTCAATATAGATATGCAACAGCGCCAAACTTGGTCCTTTGATCCTTCTGGAATGTCAGGAGTGTCAGGAAGTCTATCATCCACTGTGTCATCAACCACCAGTCCTAGATATTGATGTCTATGATCCTAGACTGGTATGGAGATGCAATAAATGCGAGGAAACGTCAAATTCAAACAAATCCTATATGGAGATAAATAATGCACCAGAGGAAACAGATAAGCAGGACGAGCTAAAAGATCAAAAAGTGATTAAGGAAGTGACAAGGAAGAGAATCTCCAAGGATCCTCTTTGTTTTACAGCAAACAAATTGAAAGCGGATGATTCTCATGGTAAAAGCAACAAACAATGGCAACGACAATTGCAAAGATTCTAAATGACATATAATTATTTATTTTAGGCAAAGAACGGAGATCACTTCGTCCTGTTAAGGATTCTACAATAAAATCACGTAAAAGACATTCCTCGATCCTTCAGAAGTCCTCATCGACTTTTCAAGGTGTAAGCAGTCAACTGCGAAAGCGGGTAGGTTCAAAATTATCTGTGACTCGCGTATCGACTAAATAACGTGGTTTTTCAAAACTGAGAGGAAGCATCCATCAACAAACTAAAGAGTAACTTTGGTATACCCGTTCTTGAAAAAATGGCAGCTTTTCATGTAAGAAAAAGGCAAATTTATGAACACATTCACTGAAATACATCGCAACGAGGGTTGGTATGTATATCGTTTATTTCATGACTATTACACAGTGTTACAAGCAAGAACCAACCTAGTCATTTTCACCTTAACGAGCTCCAATTGGAATTATTGAAGTTTGTAATTCTTGATACAGAATATTCAACAGGTTACTATAATAATTTACATTATATTACAGCCGATCGTAAACGTCAAAGTTCTCCTTCGTCTTTCGTCGCACAACATTAATACTCCACATTGAAAAGTTTTTCCCTACTTTTCTTCGTCAACTCCACCAAATCCATTTCGAAGGACTGCTCTTTGGAAACTATGAAAAAAAGATATGTTCGAAAACTATCCAGATACATCCAGCACTATAATTTATTTCGTTGGTCAACACTTTGACCGGATTAAAATGATAATTTGTCGCCTATTCGTGGCTACCAGCAGCTATTGCGGTCAAGCGAGTTCAATTGCTTTAGCAACGAGTCACTACGAAACGGACTGGCATCCATCACTCTCATTCTAATTGATCATTAACATACAGTCCTGTAGAAAATCACGTAGGTTACGATAATCTTCAGGAGAACTTCATCAGCAGTGTAAACGCGATTACAACGTATTAATTTTCTTTTTCACATATTTCCTCGTTTCAATGCCAACGCGATTACTCGATGTTATCATTTCTTCTATCCTTGTCTCGTGTATCGCCGAGTGCGCAGTTTTGATTATATTTTTATTCCCGTAACAAGTATTTCTTTGTGCATTTTAAATTCTTGCCTGTTCAGCTCGCGTAGTCCCGTTTATGCACGAGAATGAACAATTTTTCTTATTACGCGACTGCCATACTTTTTCTTTTGATGAATCAGAAGCACTAATCATCCTTATCTATCAAGCCTAAATTTAGATAAGACGACTGGAGTCTCTTAATGTCGTGCGTGTACATAATCAACTATAAACACATGACGTGAACGTACACGTAATTTTCTAAATACAATCGTTTCCTCCATACCCGTGCCATTTCAATGGCAAAACAGGATAAACGTAAGAATTGTCCTAGTTGTCAAAACCAAACAGTGGGAGTCCATTACAAACGTTGTCTCAAGTGCGACCCAGGCGAAAGAATATCCAAGTAACACGAAACGGAGGGAAAAGAAGTAAGAAAACAAAGAGGAAAGTTGCCTTAGAAAACAAAAGTATTATTTCAAAATTGCCAATCCGCTCGACTGATCTCTCAATATTTTACACCGTGCGTTATTCGTATCCGTAGAAAAAAAAAAAAAAAAAAAAAAAAAAAAAAAAAAAAAAAAAAAAAAAAAAAAAAAAAAAAAAAAAAAAAAAAAAAAAAAAAAAAAAAAAAAAAAAAAAAAAAAAAAAAAAAAAAAAAAAAAAAAAAAAAAAAAATACGGTAACCACCACTGCGCATGCGCTTAGCGTACAGACAAAAATTCTCAACACACGTGCGCCAAGTGGGCTCCGTCATTGTCGAAATAAAAGGCGTAACAATGTGTCAAGGCTGATCGCAGTTTACAAAACGCATACCGTTATTGATCAATCTGAATCCCACTGTATTTGTACGATTTACAAAGGCGCCCCTTTGGCGTCGCGACGCTTATCCTTACCCGCCAGAAAAACGTAACAATTCAATGTACATTCGGTGAAGATTCTAAATGCTAGGTATTTTTAAACAATATATACCATAAAATCTTTACTTTCTTACTGTCGTATCAGAAGGGATCGAGATGAAAAGCGTCGCGACGTCATGCGTCGTGCGAGCACATGTTTTGATTAATTAATTAAACTATTATTTAATACATATCTCTCACTCTTCTTCTGTGCCTCGAATTGATGCGCTTATCGCGAATGTAACGTTAAGTTAAATTTATTAAGAATCAAATTATTGTTATTGTTTACTACTATTACTAATATTTTATTATTATTATTGCTAAACATTAAAGAGAATTAATGCTATCTTAAAGTTTCGGTGCTCGGTGCACGTGGTGCGACTGGTTTACAATGTGATTCGTGAATGTCGTGCGAATAATAATAAAAGATATTTTTACGTTGCCTTTAGATGCTTTTCCAAAGTATACTGTTATATCCGTTGTGTCTGTAAACGTTTTACAGGAAGAAAAGTCAAGTACTCTAAAGGCAGATGCGTAAAAATATTGCTGCTTACATTGCGTGTATCGCTCAATGGGTGTTAACAACGTTTCTTATATTGATATTAATTAGACTACTTATTATAGAGACTTCGATCGTCGTTATAATTGAAATTGTATAATAGTAACGAGTTTACAGCTAATTAATTGTACACGAGAATCCAGTGAAGACTGAGTACAAGTTTTGTACAATTGCTATCGAGGGCATTATAAAAATTATTAATTGCCCTATTTTTATTTTTGTATTATTCGTATGTCAGGTTCCTTTTTTCTGGTACTTGTTTTACAATAGCAATGTCAACTTAAAGTGTTCCTGGTCTCTGTACTGGCATATTTCACATTGTGTGAAAAAACATCAAGATTGTTCTCCTTTTTTTTTACTGTACAATATAAACTCGCTACTGTATACCATTCTCTTATGCGAATAATATTCTTTGAGTGTACGTGAGTGTTGTGTAAAAAATGTGCAAAAAAATTATATTCACAATTGCTAGTGCCGCTCGCGATTATAATTGGACTAATAGCTAGTACAAAAAAAAGTGGGATTCTCTAACTCTTATATATGTATTCTACATAATTATCAATACGAAGAATAGGAATGAGATTTCGATATTTGACTTTGAAGAAAGATAAACGATAACAAAGATATTTTATCTTTTTACTTTGTGTATATATATATATATATTTGTTTCTTGAATTTTATTCGCAACTTTATAATGCCTCGACAGCTTCAATACCGGTTAAGTAATTTGCAAGGACAATTCAAAGCGCATTTCAATTAAGAGCCAATGACAATGATACCCTGATTACGGAAGTACTGCGTCGATGTTTAAAAATCCGATCCTTATAATTTCTTTTTAATCTATTTTTCATTTTTGTAAATTTAACCGTCTCGTCTATTCGCACAATTGTCTTCACGTGAATCGCCGAAAATTCACTGGAACACGATTAACTTTTCTTTGGACGTTATTAAATTGGTCGCAAGGGCGTCGTGCGAATTTACCTTGCGCTTGAGTTTTAAGTATTATTAATTTTGCCAAATGCGAAATTCATTGCTTCGTTATAACAGTATTTAATTTTTAAGGTAAAACGCGACGCCCGGAACCTTGGTAATAATATAAGCCTTAAGGTTATCCTTATTTCCTTCTATTTATCTTTTTTTTTTTCTTTTCTTTCTCACGCTGGGCAACGCCGCCATTGCACGAGGAACGTGCGAATATTATTCGACGAGACACGCGATTACCGCGTTATCATTTTCGCATGCGCGTACGCGGACGTTCTAACTATTATCCGTTTAACCATTACGCGTAAATCTTCATTAACGAGACGCGCGCTCAGATTCTAACAGCCCGAAACATATGTAGTACACGCTCATTACATGAGCTCACTATTCAAGATATATTAAATTAAATTTATTGAACGCTTATCTCATTAGAAGTTGGATTGGCATAAATACGTTCTAACACTATAAGATCGTATCTTAACTATACATCTAAAACGGGAGAGAAGAGTCGACTGAGGGATTTGTAAAATATAGATAAAAGTCGATCCGGAGACTAGAGTAAATAATAATTAAATTGACTAGAGTATATGCTACAGAACAAATAAAATAAATATTTCGTTTTCTTTTTCGATATGGAACATTAAAAATAGTCTACGAGTAATAAGGTACTGTAATATTTTCGAGCAAGCATTAAAAGACGGTAAGAAGTTTGAAAAGTAAGAAAAGCTAGGGATACAGAATAAACCAAGGTGAGGTATCGAAGAAATAAATTCTTGATAACTGTCTAACGAACAGTACTATCGAATAAATTCAAAATTCGTTTTTAAATTTATAAAGAAAAAATGAATTCCACTGCAAGTTCGTGGATGGAATATCGATATAGGTTTTTCTCTTCTAGACCCTAGTTGTGATCAATAATTTTTTTCATTTTCACGTTTCTATTATTTCCAAAATCCCTTTTTGACCCGGGTACAACGGTGTAAGTCGTTCATTCTACAATCTGTCGATTCCAATCGCCTTTAACGCGTAATAGAGTTATTATTAAAAAAACAAAAGGCCATTATACGTTTTAATCAGCCCGAATACCCAGTGCCACGCTTTTGGAAGCGCTAGATTCTACGATGACGATCGATCCGATCATTTTTGTAATTGTTTACATTTTTTTTCGTTTATATATATAACGTGCCATACTTTAATCGTTCTCACTACTTGACTAGTCCATGTGAGTATAATTATTATTTATTAAGCGATTCGCGCAATCGCCCTACTCCAAGGAAATCATAATCTCTCATTTTCTAATCCATTTTGGATATAAGATCAATACGTGTTCCAAGGAACGTGATATTATATACTATACGATTGAATTCAATCGTAACTAAAAGAGAAAGGAACCTTGTCTAATTATTAATAATATTCCGCAGTTCGAATGTCACGCACAGCCCATTGGCTTTTACCTCTGACCCGGTGAGGAACGGGTCAATCGAACGCGAGGAAAGCAGCAGGCACTTCGAAGACGATGTTCGCGGGATCCGAGTTACTTCTGATGACCATCTCGTTAATCCACCTTGATCGATGGCAAACCATGACCTACGACAAGCTGTTCCTTCGGGAAGTCCAGGATCACAGTCACGTGGAACCCCATGTTCGCAGAGGCTATCACGTACTCGCAGAGGGAGAACCAGCTGAATGCTGTTGACAGAGGATGAAGAGAGAAAGGATGCCTTGTACTGCCCATAAGAATACCTGGTGAGCAATTTCGTATATAATTACCTAGATCGTGGCAGAGTAATCGATGCTTCAGGAAGAATATAATAAGGCCAACTGTGCTGACAACGCTGGCTATGAAGAGGGCTTGTTTGTACTGGAGACTTTGTGCTTTTGGAGTCAAAAGACGCCCTAATCTCACCGTCGCCAGCATGTACGTCAGGGAGCTGAACATGAACACTATAAAGATCTTCTCATGGACCGCTGAAATATTTAAATTCGTCTTAATTATCTTCTCTAGTCATTCAATCGAAAGACTGGAGTGAATCTTGTTTCATGTTTCAATTTTTAAAGTAGAATCGCGAAGCTTCCCGTTTTTGTTCTTTTTGTATTCGACACGCGGCTTCTTCTAAACGTATGTATGTCAATCGATAAACTCCAAAGCGTAGGATGAACTATTTTTTTCTCTTGTCATGAGCTTAAAGGGTAACTGGATATAGATAACAATTAATGGTAATATGATTAGAGCATAGGTTAATGAATAATCTCGACAATGTGTTTATCTATACATAGTACATCCGCGTACGAATTTATCGATTTCCCAAATGTTACACGTGCAAGATATACTGTGTGTCTATAATGTTAGGAGTGGTGGAATTTTATTTAGATAGTTACTCACAATAGTTCTCTCGGTTGGAGATATATGTGACTCCACACAGAGCTGCCACTTCTGAGATATTTAACCAATAACACAGATTGAGAAGTCTGGAACCTAGTATTTTTGTAGGCACGTCTACAATAGCTAGGAGTATTTTACGGTAGTATGAATGATAGACGCTTGCGATAACAAGCCGTGGTCCAATGTGAAGAGCAATGCTTATTCGCCATAAATATCTTTGCGGAGACACACCAGTGATTGCTGATATCGATGGGAGAACATTATAGACCTGTAGAAATTTATGGGATTAATGTCGTTGGCATTGTATTCCTTGATTATAAGCTTTTATCTGATTTTTCTTACTCGACAGTGTGTCTCGTGAATGTCATCTTGCTGGAATATATATGCTGTTACGAAACAGATCACTAGAGCAATCAGAGGTAGTGACACTGTGAATATACATAATCTGCGAAAAGACATTGACAGGTAGATAGAGCTCTTACTGCTTGCCACATTATTAAGCTCCATATTGAATATTAATAATTTTGCCTCATTCGTAATAATTACTTGCTGAAACAACAATACTTTGCTTATCAACCTGAAGATAGAGATTGTATATAGTCTTAGAAGTACAATATAAATATATGACTGACTGTGATTCCTCCTTGAGATTCTTCTTCAATTGGCAGTTTTTACTATGAATTGCTGTACCACATTCATCTTTAGCGACTTCAGAGTATACCTAAAATAAAAATATAGTATCTTGAATTTGTAAAACTAATGATAATCATGTTTATGAATGATATATCAATCAGAATAATTTTCAATGAATGAAACATTTTTTGCACCGTACACACAGTTAAATTTCTCACATAGAAAAAAGAAAAGTAATACATGTGTTATCAATAATAAGTAATAACTTTGATAAACTTAATAAAAAAACAAACAAGCTACGTTCTCTAGCAATCATTAGTAATAACCAAATATAGAAAAAAAAGGAAAGGATCGGTGTAAGGCAGAAATGTCAAATAAAATAGCCCAATTTGGGAATTGATTTTTGCAATAACCTACTTTTGCTATTAATAGCAAGGTATAATCCTAGAAGGAATTAAAGAATATCAGGAGATGAATCCTGGCCATGTATATACCTGGTATCATACTGTTAAATGAATGTAAAAATAAAAATGTAAAAGCTGAGATACTGTCATAACAGTAAAAACTAGGAACACCTGCCAATAGCAAATTGCAATGTTGAACAAGGGAATGCGCAATGCCGAGATACTGCAGTATTCTCACATAACACTGTGGTAAAAGTCAAAATAATTTCAACCGCGCTATTAGACAGATCTCAATATATAGCAAAAATTCTTCACAGAATGACGAAGTATAATAAATCGTGAAAAATAAAAAGTTTGACGGATTTACCTTGTTTCCCAAGTACAAGTATCGTCTGCTACCCCCATGGAGTTACCATCTCTATGTTGCTCTTTGCGCAAGAGCTTTCAATGCTTTACCTAGATTTCAACGTTTATTCGCATTCCGCGAGATGCCACCACAATCTCTAAAGTATAAAATGATTTTAGCTACTGACCTCCCGAAAAAAACAGTTACGTGTAAGAAACTATGACAAGTAAAAGAGTACTGTGAATTTCTCCAACAAAAAATATTGAAATCATATTATTAATGCCAAATATATAAGTCACTACATATCTACTTATGATATCTATTTATATATTTTGTTTTTTGTTTTCAAAATTTCCTATAACGTGTTCGCTACTCTTTTATATTATTACAGCTTCTCGTATATAATTATGATTTAATAATCATTTAATAATCAATTAAACTTTAGGTGATTCCTTATCGAGTACTACTTGGCGGGTCCATGCCAAGAATTCCAAAGTACTTACTTTGAACGTACTAATAGTATTCTTAGACTATATGTTTGTTATTAGGCTTTTACCGTGGTTATTTTTGACGAATTATTGCTAATATGCTTTATGTAGAAAGTTGACGTTGATTTGAGTTCGAAGACTGGGATAATGACCGCCGATTTATATCGTGTAATGCACGGACCCGCCAAGTAGTACTCGATAAGGAATCACCTAACGTACTAATAGTATTCTTAGACTATATGTTTGTTATTAGGCTTTTACCGTGGTTATTTTTGACGAATTATTGCTAATATGCTTTATGTAGAAAGTTGACGTTGATTTGAGTTCGAAGACTGGGATAATGACCGCCGATTTATATCGTGTAATGCACGGACCCGCCAAGTAGTACTCGATAAGGAATCACCTAAAGTTTAATTAATTATTAATTTTAATAATTATTATTGACACTTAGAAAGTAAGAACCACGGTGGTTAATAAAAGTGCTGGAAATTTTAAAATTTATCGGAGCGCAAAATTGTTGCGCAGAACCAGCGAGCCGCGAAGGGGGGGGGGAGCATTTACGGGAGCGCTTAGGCTTAGAGCGATCATTCCCCCACGAGCCGGTCATCTATACCTGTCTCCTGGGCAATCCCATCTTACCCAGTTTTTATCCTTTTTTTTTCTTTATTTATTTTTTGTTTTGTCTTATACTCGTATTCCTTACTTTGCTACATTCATTTTTGTTTCTTTTTTTATTTCTTAACTTCTTCTCTACTTTCCTTGTTTCTTTCTTTGTGCCTTCTTCTTTCTCTTCTGGTCTCATTTACTTTTCATTGTGCCTGTCTTACTTTTCCTAATTCTTTGGTTGGGCCGCGCATATTTCTTCGAGTAGTCATAAGAGGGTAGTTCATTCTGTTAGAGAGACACACGTGGACTATGGTGACGGGGGTTGCCCTTCCGCCTCATCTGCTGAGCTTGCTCGGTAGGTCAGGCCCAAGTTGTGGTCGCAATATGGTCTCTCGGGATCTCCCGTCGGGGGCCTTGAGCACCCTTAGGGTACGCTACGACCATACTCTTGCGTGCAGTCGATCTAACCAGGTGTCAATCTTTCGTAATTTTAATATATTTTGTTCGCTTTTTTGAAAACGTCGCTGACCCTTGACACCTGGGTGGGTGGGAACGCTCCCATGTGGGGATGGGAAGCTCGGAGGGGTAGTCCGTTTGTTCTGAAGTAGTATCGGTTCTTTTGATTAAAGTCTCTGCCGGATACGAGAGACTTTCGCATTTAACTTATCTTTTGCATCTTTCTTGTCGCCTACCTTCAATGTTCTCCTTCTTCCCGCTGATCATACAACCAATTATCAAAAGTTTAACTTGAAACACGTGTACTACAACTGGAACTACAACTTTCATCTGCATTATGTTCGGACGGCAGAACAGAGCTTCCCAATTTCTATGATGGTATGTGCTACTCACTTTGAATTTATCGTCAAATAATCGCTGTGTTATTCTCATTGTCAGGTTTTTAGTATCTTTAATTCTATATGAATGATTGGTACAATAAATTCAGCTACCAAAATTACCTGGTTTCAGGAAACACATGTTCAAATTATCGGTAGCTTTGATATTGTGGTGAAGCGAGGATCACCCAATTATTATGCTAAAATATAAAGGCTGCTTAGATAGCTTGTAAAAAATACGGTTTTATTTTTCTATTTATTCACAACTAGTGCTTCAGCCTTTGTAGAGGTTCATTCTCTACTTCGTATTCTATTTCCACTCTGGGTCTGGCTTTGCTTTTCTTGACACTCTTTGTCTTTTTCTTTGATTTCGACAATTTCGATTGTTTACTTGTGGATGGTGCTATATCCTGAAAATATTATAATTATCTTTGGTTAATATCTTGCAAGAACATGATATAAGTTTTTAATGGAATTACATACTTCAATGTCACTTGTTTCGGATTCAAAACTATCCGAAAGTTCCACGTCTTCTTTAACGCCTGAATCACTGTCTTCGTCCTTTAAATATTTGATATTGATTCTTTAATCATTCTTTTTGTATACGTTTATTATAAAATTATATTGACTCAATATTACCATTGACGTTTCTTGCATGTCTTCATCTTCATCATCACTATCTGCTTCAATATATTCTGGCCCGTTTGTTTCAAATTCGGTTTCACCTTTTTCCAACTCCATTTCAACTTCTCTTTCAATTTCCTGCTCCAGTTCCTCCTGTTATTTTTGATGTCATATAAGAAATATTAGATTTTTTTCAAATATTTATTATGTATCTTTATATATATCAGAGCTTGTCTGTCAAATAACTGTACCTCTTCTTCACTCTCAGCCTCACCCTCGACCTCAACAGCTTCAACAGCTTTGTCGAACACTTTTTGTGGGAAGTTGTATATATCATTATACTGAAATAAGTATATGGATAATTAGAAATCATTCTAATTTAGTACCAACCAGTCAAATCAATATCAATAGTTACCACTCCTAATTTCAATCTTTCCATAAGCTGTTTCTCAATGGCAGTATCTAATTTTGCAGCAACTAAAGCCTTTTCCTCCCTACGTCTTTCCCTTCTCTCTATCTTTCTTTGAAGTGGTACAATTTTCTTTTGTCTCCTGAGTCTCAACTTTCTCATACGTATAAGATACTGTGTGATTTTTACAAATCTTTGCTTACATTTTGATTTTATAAATCCAGGCCAATAGAGTAAATTCTCGTTTATTTGTTGAATGGCTTTTTCAAAATTCCTAGACAATTTTACTTTTTCCCACATATTTTTTGGAAAAGCTACTCTGAAAAAATATAGATCAAAACTTTTATAATGTACAATCATCTTAATATTGTAACAAAAGGAACACAGTAATATTTACCTTTCAGCTGTTCTCATAAAAAGATATATAATTCCATTTTCTTCTCTAACAGTAGCATACTGACTATTAGCAAGCGGACAGCCTGCTCTACTGCACAAGCCAGTCAAGTTATATTCATTCCGACAGAATTTCTGTGTTTTTGTACTGAAACGAATACAAACATCAACACCAAGTAAAGTGAAGACTCTTATAGCACAATACTTACTTTACTTTAAAAGAACAAAAAGATTTGTTAATAATACTCCAGACAACCTGCAAATGGATTATGAATAAATATATTTGAATGTACATTAGAAAAGAAACAATAAGATATGTAAACTCACATCGTCGTGCTGCATTTTCAGTATCTAATATTACTTCCAATTATATTACAGGGATCAACAGACTTGGTCGTCTCACACAAAATGTGTATTATTGGAATTAATCGGCGACCACGCACGTGTACAACCTCAAGCAGCACCAAACATGATCGACATTACTAAAGGCTGCTTCACAGCAAGCGAAATAGGTGAGTCCATGATTCATAAATACATAGAATAACCACTAGGGAACATATTTTTGTACAGACAATATAGCCTATGGTCTTCGATTGTGAATCCGCCTGAAATTATTTAATGGGAGGGATCTTTGGAAAAATGAAAATAACATCATTCCAGATGTGACTTTTATTAATGGAAAATAGTGTATGCTTCTCTACACTTAACATCCATATACATCTCTATTGGTCATTCGCATTAAGATTGGACAGTGAAGGATTTTAACAATGATCCTTCAACGCAAACTAAATAATCTAGCTGCTAAAATTTGCACTAATAGTAACATTATATACGTCTCGCGATCAACAGCTAAATGAAATGACTAATTTGTACTAGGTGTCGAATAAGATTCGAGCTCACACTGGTTGCATTATCACAATAACTCTCCGGCTGCAGTAAATATGTCTTCGAAGAAAAAAAAATAAAATTATTAAGGTCTGTCAGAGAATTACATCAGGTAACGATTAACAGGATTTCTATGATCAACTAAATTACTGTAGGAGATCCGGTGGAACGAGATTTGATAACGTAACGCCCAGCCTCGTTACCATAAAACTGGCTACTTTACAACCATACTCCAAACAGTTCTTTGGATCCCAGCCAGCCAGGACACCAGCTAAGAATCCTGCTACCAGAGCATCTCCAGCTCCAGTAGTGTCCACCACAGGATTTTTAGGCGTTATAGGTTGTACCTAGGATATATGTGAGTTAGTTAGTTTCCAAGAGTGACTATAGCAATTAGATTAGTACAGTTCTAGTAATTGCATAGAGAACGTAAAGTTTTGCACGGATATTTGATATTTACTTGGACGGATTGTCCCTGACCCCACACAGCTATAGCTGGGGACGAACCACCCTGAGTCATAATGAATACACCTTCATCCGACAACCAATCTTTGTTTGATAAACTGGAAACTCCAACGGTTACCCTTTTCAAGTTATTTAATAGGAAGGGTATGTCTGTCACGTCATCGAATTTAAGATCTAACGCCTGAGCGAGAGCTATCATTTCTCTTGCATTTCCAAATACTATTTTAGCTAAGCCGACCATTTCGAAAATTGCATCGTGATGATCCTGGAAAAAGAGTGCATGGTAGGTAATTGATTCACGAGGAGTGGCAGTAGTACCTGTTTTTTTTTTCTATTACCTGAAATATGTACACGCCGTTCAGATTGAATGCAGAAATAATCTTCGTGTCGCGGGTTAATTCCACTAGCTGCTTGGCGACGTCTAAACTATGAGTCACGAAGAAACCCTCGATATATACTATTTTAATGGCATCACGGGGAAATTTACATCGGATCACATCATCCAAAGTATATACACCAGCTGCTCCAATATTCGCGGCTAGACTTCGTGAGGAACCAGTTATCAATGACACACACACTCCTGTAGGCAAGGTGGGATGTACTGCGTATCTGAGAGTAGTAAGAAAGAACAATTTGAAATGTTCCTGTAGTTATTTCCACATTGTTTAATATTATTTACCTTGTATCGACACCAGCTGCTCTCACAAGGCTCTCCAGCATATTTCCTCTGGCATCTTTACCAATTCCACCATAGTATATTCCTACTGGAGATGAAGAGGGACCACCACAAAGCCACTGCAATATTCTTAGAGTGTTCTGTGCCGAACCACCAGCACTTATCGTCTGTTCAGCACTGAAAAGTAGTTATTAGCAACAGTCAGTAGGATAATCTTGTTATGGTGACGAAGGTAACAAAGAAATCCAAGGTAAATCTTAGTATCGGCACCGCTACCATTTCCAGAACTTACGGTACAGTACATTAAAAGGTTTACATTTGAATTGCCATTGTTATAACTTTAATATTAAGAGTCTTACGGCATTCCAAGGGTAGCAGTGCTGAGACTAAACCTCCTCCATCAAATACACTCATTAACTCTGCTGGCAGATCAGCAATGAGCTGTTGCATCTTCTTCTCAGGCAATTCCAATTCACCATCCACTTTGAGATTGTATTTCTTCAGTAATTCATCATTCTCCAAAATGACTATAATGTCTAGTAAAGGATTTCCAAAGGCTACGACTGCTGGCAATTTTAAGGTCTTGATAGCTTGTACCAATTTGGGTACTTTCTCAACCATTTTCATAAAACAATATGAACTGATCTGTGTAGAAAAGTCACTCCTTGCAACCAATAGAGACTGTTCCTGACAAACTGATAAAGATAATAATGAATTACATCATCTTTCTGTGACTATATTGCTGATTAAAATTCTGGCACCTACCACAGGATACGTGTTGTTGCCCAGTTGCCGGCCAAAAAATTCAGATTCTGACCAAAATAGAGTTGCCAATTAAAAATTTATAATCATTATGATATACCCAAGGCCAAGTCACGCTTTCCATTCCAAATTTGAGCAAGTGCTCACGACAGCAATAATCAAAGTTGAATAATTTTCGCACCCAAATGGGTACAATTCGTCAACAGTTTCACAACAGCACAAAGCCTAAAATGCAAGAGGAATTTAATTACACCCGGTATATCATAGGAATTTACTATCAGCGCTTCTTCGAGACGACTACTTGTACTAAGTTAGCCGGAAACTTGACTTTAAAACATTTTTTTATTCACTAATCGTTTGGTGATAATTGGTAGTCTATTTAGAAGGTTTGGTCATTAATAGTTTTCATGAAGTATTAAAAATAAATTTTAGTGACAAGTTAGCCCTGACAAGTATGTTTACCTGTAATATGAAAATTGTAATTATTAAAAAAAGATTTATTTCCGAAGCATCCTGCATATGAATGATTACGGGCAAGTTCATAATAAACGCAAAATACTGAAATTTGAAATATTTGTCATCCAGTAGGGTGGCAGTACATGTCGGGGAATTACTCGGAGCTCTAATTCTTCCGAGAGCCGATCATACCTTCTTCATACCTTTATTTTATCTTTCTTTCTTACATCATTATTTTTCTTTTCTCTTAAAGTAATTAACTCTTCTTATACTTAAATTATTAGTTACTTTCATTATCTACTTCTTTATTTAGTTCTTCCTTTTTTTCCTCTTTCTGTGTGTCTTCAATCGTTCCTATATTTTCGGTTGGATTCTCAGTATATATTCAGTCGGGTAGTCCATCCTCCTTCCTTTTTATATAGCTGACTCCACCAATGAGGAGATGTGTCACCAGTGGGGTAGTCACATAAGGGTAATCATAGAGATGAGTCGAGAGATGCACAACGCTACGGTTTTAGACGATACCAAAATCATGGCGCTACATCGTAGCGGCGAGTCTGGAAATGGGATTTTGTGATCATCGCCTCCGTCGACAATGCGAATTCCGTCGTAGCCGAGCTAAACGTGAACACGAACGCGTAGCTTGACGGGCAGAGATTCTTCGCTACTCACCGCTGTGTGCGACAGCCACAGGACTCGGGGGTTTCCCATAATAAAAAAAAAAACACAGTCCCCTATGGGGCCTCGGAGGGGTTGTAGCTCCCTTGTGGAGAGGCTGGACCTCACGGAAATGGGCGAGGAAGGGGCCCATTTCGCTACCTTGTACATACTTCCTACTTTTCCTACCTTTTCCACGAAATCATAAATAAATTAGGTGTCTAGACCATCAAAATAATTAACTAAATGAATAAAGTAGAATATTAACACGTAGAAATCGGAAATTCTGGCTAAATATATTTCGAAGTACTGGAAGTTGCTCAAAATTGCGTTCGCGCAAATTCGTCGCGCAGGACTCGGCGAGTGGGAGCAGGCGCATGGTGGGGGGAGCGTCGAGGTAGTTCCGGACTAATCGCTCATTTATCCTCGAGCCGGTCTCCTATACTGGTCTCTTGGAAGCACCCTCTTATTTTTTCCAACCTTCTTCTTTTTCTATATTTATTTCTTTCTTATTTCCTTATTTCTTTATCTTTTATTCTTTACTTTCTTATTTACCTCTTTCCTTATTTCTTCTTTACTTTCATAAGTCTATTCCTTACTTTTCTACTTCTTTATTTCTTTATTTCTATCTTCCTTTCTGTCTTCTCGTTTCACTCTGTTCCCTTTCACTTTCCATTGTGCTTGTCTTACTTTTCCTATATTTATTTCTTCTTTACTTCTTTATTTCTTTATATTTCATTCTTTACTCTTCTATTTTTAAACTTCTTAAATTTTATCTTCCTTTATAACTTCTCGTTTGACTCTGTTCCCTCTCACTTTCCATTGTGCTTGTCTTACTTTTCCTATATTTATTTCTTCTTTACTTCTTTATTTCTTTATATTTCATTCTTTACTCTTCTATTTTTAAACTTCTTAAATTTTATCTTCCTTTATAACTTCTCGTTTGACTCTGTTCCCTCTCAGTTTCCATTGTGCTTGTATTACTTTTCCTATATTTATTTCTTCTTTACTTCTTTATTTCTTTATATTTCATTCTTTACTCTTCTATTTTTAAACTTCTTAAATTTTATCTTCCTTTATAACTTCTCGTTTGACTCTGTTCCCTCTCAGTTTCCATTGTGCTTGTATTACTTTTCCTATATTTATTTCTTCTTTACTTCTTTATTTCTTTATATTTCATTCTTTACTCTTCTATTTTTAAACTTCTTAAATTTTATCTTCCTTTATAACTTCTCGTTTGACTCTGTTCCCTCTCAGTTTCCATTGTGCTTGTATTACTTTTCCTATATTTATTTCTTCTTTACTTCTTTATTTCTTTATATTTCATTCTTTACTCTTCTATTTTTAAACTTCTTAAATTTTATCTTCCTTTATAACTTCTCGTTTGACTCTGTTCCCTCTCAGTTTCCATTGTGCTTGTATTACTTTTCCTATATTTATTTCTTCTTTATTTCCTTATTTCTTTATATTTAATTCTTTGCTTTCTTATTTATCTCTTTCCTTATTTCTTCTCTACTTTTTATTTCGTTACTTCGTTACTTTTCTATTTTTTAACTTCTTAAATTTTATCTTCCTTTATA